TGCGTTACCAATGAACGAGTCTAAAGACCTATTTGTAAGTTCGAGTGAGATTGAGAAGCGAGTCAAGCAAATTGTGCACTCTGAAGAAAGGGATCTTATAAAAAACCGAGTGTTGGATTTGAAAGACAAGGCTAGGGATGTACTCAAAGAAGGAGGCTCCTCAAATGTAGCATTGACTACATTAATGGAATCATGGAAACAATGAAGAAAGGTCAATATTCCAGTAATGTTAATGTATGATAACATTGCAATGGTGCAGCTTGATAAATTGTAATGTACGTTCTATTTGTCATGCTTAGCTTTATTAAACTTTTTTGTGATCTTAAATATGTATGAACGTGATCAAACTATTTGTTTTGTTATTACTAGCAGTTGTTTTAAGGTCTTGATGAGTGTTCCTTTTCTTTGTGCAACATTGCAAGCTATTCAGCTAATCATTGCGGTGTTGGTCAAATAATAATATATCTCATAATTTTGAATTAGTGAGATATTGTGTTGACCGGTGAAATATGCTTTATATATAGTACCTTAATTGTGATGTAGAAATCAATTGTGATGTAGAAATTAATTGTGACGGGACCGTGGAATTAGTTTTTTTTTTCCCCCTCTTAATAATATTTAAGATCTAGCCACTGTACTAGATACTTCTAAAACTTGACTACTTTGTCATGTTATATCGTGAGATTTAATTAAATTGTGATGGGACCGTGGAATTAAGTTTTTTTTCCCTCTTAATAATATTTAAGATCTAGCCACTGTACTAGATACTTCTAAAACTTGCCTACTTTGTCGTGTTATACCGTGAGATTTAATTAAATTGCATGATTATCATACGTACAATATTTATAGATGAAGGTTACAAAACTCATTACGACATCATTAAATATTTAATTAGCTCAAAGTTGAAAATTTATAAATTGATGCTCCGATGGATTAACAGTATCAAATCTGATGAGGAAGGTAAAAAAAAAAAAAAAATTAAACAACATTGCAACCCAATGCAATCTCAATTCTGCCATAGTATAAGGAAAACTTGACTACTTTGTCGTGTTATATCGTGAGATTTTAATTAAATTGTGATGGGACCGTGGAATTAAGTTTTTTTTTTTCCCTCTTAATAATATTTAAGATCTAGCCACTGTACTAGATACTTCTAAAACTTGCCTACTTTGTCGTGTTATACCGTGAGATTTAATTAAATTGCATGATTATCATACGTACAATATTTATAGATGAAGGTTACAAAACTCATTACGACATCATTAAATATTTAATTAGCTCAAAGTTGAAAATTTATAAATTGATGCTCCGATGGATTAACAGTATCAAATCTGATGAGGAAGGTAAAAAAAAAAAAAAATTTAAACAACATTGCAACCCAATGCAATCTCAATTCTGCCATAGTATAAGGAAAAAAATTTGGAGATGCGGGGGATCGAACCCCGTGCCTCTCGCATGCAAAGCGAGCGCTCTACCATTTGAGCTACATCCCCTGTCCTGCTCTTTCAATTGATTTTATACAATAGTACAAATAATACAGGAATAGCTGTTTGCAACATTACTAAAGCGGGATATGGTCCACTTTATAAATAAAGTTTTGTCTTAAAAAAAAAAAGAGGACATAAAGTTGGGCCGGTTGGCATATGATACTCTACTTTATACAAAGCTTGAGAAAATGAATCAGTGCATGCTATTTCACACTGTGTTCAGTTTTGTTTTTGAAAAAGGTGTTTACGGACCAGGGATGGCAATTGGGAGTGGGTGCGCACCCCACACCCACACCCGCACCCACAAAAATATTTATGCGTAGTAATTTTATACGTATATGTGTACTTATCATGGATGGCGAGTACATATTTAGCATTTATATACCAAGCATGCTTGGTAGAATAATTGGAGTTGGTGGAAAACTCACCTTGTGACCAAATTCAAGCCCCACTAACTATAAATGTTTGGAAGTAGTCAAGTAGGGGATTCTCCTACCTCCCCCCTCTACTTTCAAACGATGACCTGTGAGAGGTGCCGGTTCAGTGGAGTCCTTCATTTTTACCCTTAAAAACAAAAACATATTTAATATTTATATTTTTCCAAATTGGCCCTTTTAAAAAAAAAAAAAATTTGTCCAAATGGGTATAAACCTAAATCTACACCGAAATACTCCGTAATTATTATCCCTCGAGAGTAAATCCTTACCTAATTACTGATTAGATTCAAAACAGTATGTAAACAATGACTAATCATAATTTTAAGCACTCAATTCATCAATTTAAAATTTCAAAAATCAATAACCAATTACCGCTATAATAGATTTTTTTTGTCAAAACTCAACACTTTATGGTGGTAGAAGGCTAGCACCTAGCAGCATTGGTTTTGTTATTGATATGTCTCCTACCAGAGACAAGTTTTGTAACTATTACTTCATATTAGTCCACAATGGCCATGAAAATATTGATGTGTTTGAGCACAAAAGAACGGCTTTTGTAACTCAAGAGGGCATGAATTTGTTCAAGTGGACAACCCATTTACTCATTTAGGTTTGTTTTCGGTCCATGTTGAAAGTCTTGTTTCTCTTTTCATGATAACAATAATAATTAATGTTATTTTTACATATAAACATTTTATTATGTATTGACATGTTTTCCCTTTCTCTCAACTTGTTGTTGCAGCCAACTCGATCTTCCATAGCTTCTCTTTCTATTGTTTCTTATGTTGTATTTTTAGTGTTCCTAATGTTCGCTGCTAAATGATGTAACTTATGTTAGATGTCTGAAAAACTTAATGAGAAACATCATCAATAGCAATTCTCTTAGGGAAATTTTTTATTTTTTTGGGAAAGAGTACCTAATTCAATCATTAATTTATCAACTATGATCCATGTCAACTTTACTATTCTACAACTATTCAAAAAAAAAAAAAAAAAAAACAAAAACAAAAAAACTTTACTATTCTATAAGATTACAGTACAACTATTTAATTAATTTCCTGTAAGTAGTGAACTATATGCTGAATATCATCAGATAATCATATTGAAATCAAGTTCACCTAAAAAAATGGAGATGCGGGGGATCGAACCCCGTGCCTCTCGCATGCAAAGCGAGCGCTCTACCATTTGAGCTACATCCCCAATGATGTTACACAATCTAATCGCTACTTATAAATAAGTTCATTCTTCCAAATTTTTATTTATTTATTTATTTTATATAAATGCAAGTGTGTATTATACACACAGTAGAGTTTCTTGAACCAAAAACAAAAATAGCACACTGTACACAATAGGTTTTATTGCTTAGTTACAGTGTTAATATGGAGAAGCTTACTTACTTTTAATTAATTAATTTATTTTGACATGCTTTTTTCTCTTGATTGATATTGTTAATGGAATAAGGATTATTATTCCATTTGTGTGCTATAAAAAAAAAAAAAAAATTATTCCATTTGTGACTCTTTACATGCATCACTCAATGTAACTCATTTCGTTGGTTTATTTTATTGTTATTGTCTGTACATAAACTAACAAGCAAAGACAATACTCAATCACGGCACATAAACTTGTATGGAGTAAAAAACAATGAACCAGAATAAACGCCTAAGATAACTATTTAATTTTCTCTTTTGTTTTAAACTACGTATATAACTAAGAACCAGGCTTGTGGTTCTACAAAAATAAATACCTCCAAAACAACCATTATACAAGGCTAGATGATTAAACCTTATGATCGCCTAAGTGCAACCGTTGCACACATGCACTAGAAGAAGTTCATCATTCGAGCATACAAAATATAACATCTAACAATTAGAATCACTCTTTTTCTATACCATACAAGTAAGTAATCTACTGTTATATTCCGTAAACATTAGAAACACAACATTCTATAATTTAAGGCAAAGTTTACTCGATTTAATTTTTATGGAACGAACTAAGTTCACGTGTGGTAGTTGGTGATGTAGACTTACATCCCGTGAGTTTTTTTCCCCTATAAATTCATGTGCAACCAAACAGGGTGCACTTAGTTAGCTAAACAAAAGTAATGGGGAACTCCATTATTATAACGAGTATTCTTTTTTAAGACTTTTTTTATTTTGTTTTTTTTGACAGAGACAAGACGCTTAAATTAAATGACGAATAAAAATTGACAAGCAATTTTGGAGGTTTATACTGTTTTTATTTTGGATATACTTGATAAGGACCCCGTGACATCTTTTTAATTTCCTATTTCATATATTTTGCTGAATTTCCAATTTCTTGCTTTCATAACAACGAACCAAGATTCTCTCCATGGCATGTGATTATGTGACCCATCAATAATTAAAATCTTTATTTCTATTTTTTTTCGTTGAAAAGTACGTTCCATACGAGGCTTACAAAAAAAGTATGTTCCATACGAGGCTTACAAGTAATAATTTTTTGATAACTTTTAATTCTCCGTATTTTTTTTATGAAACCGGCAGTAAATATTATATAAGATCAACCCAACAAGCTTTGTGGGAAAGGATCAAAACATAAAAAAAAAAAAAAAAAAAAACTCATCGCAACCTCATTACAAATTTAATAAATTTATGTTTATAATAACTTTTAGTTCTCCGTATTTATATGGAGTAGCTTGTCAAAATATTGGTATTAAATAGAAATTTTACAGGTCTTAGTCAATCTCATTACAAATAATTTTTTAAATCATAAAATGATCATTATTAGTTGATGTAATGTTTTTTCTGTGTTTAATATCTCACGTTCAATTTAAATGATGCATGCATATTATTGAAGTATTATATTGTGAATTAATATATTTAGAAAATTAGAAAGTTATAATACACATTCAGTCTCTAAATTAAAGGCGTCATTTTCCTTAGGATTCTTATCGCTAAAGCCCCATTATTTCTTATATACACCTATAATTTTACCATTGGCTAGATAAGGAGTTAAGGACAATCATAAAAGATCATTTTGGAGGAATCATATCTCAAATACGATACATACACGGGAAAGTGAAATTAAACAACAGAATATAACAATGAATGTCCCACGTCTTATTTTATGCTCATGGATGTATATATGTAACGAATCTAATCAATAATGTATGTACTACTATTGAAAGAGAAATAAGATAACTGAACTTATATATTCAACAAATTACAATAATTGTAACATTGCATTGTTTGTACAACTTAGAACAAACATTATTTTTACAATTGATCATTAAATTAAATTCATTACTTTTTGGACCTTGATACCCTCCTAATTAAAACCAACAAACAAAGCACTCTATAGAGCACAAAGAACCCAACTAAAACATAAACATTATTCCATCTTTGCCCTTCATGTAACCCTCTTTTTACCAACACATCATGTCCTGTTACCATACAACTCTTACTCTCTTCATACCACACCAAACACTTTGTAACAAGACATGAATACTCATTTATAAGCAATGCATCAAGGGCATACTTGTACATTGACAAGTATTGCATGTAAACCCAATACTTAGGCATACTCTCCTTACCAATGAAGTACCCTGAGAAGAGGAAAAACCCGGCCAGGATCACGGTCACCAACGAGGTCCCGGCTATGTACGTTGGTGCAACCGAGCTAAGGAAGAGTACGAACGAGTTAGCCATAAGTACAATCACCCAAATCACTAGCACAAAGTACCCGAACGACAACCATGTAGCACATAGGCCTACTAGGAAGTACACCGAAAACGCGTAGATTATAGAAATGACTAGCAAATAAGGAAGAAAAACAAGGGTATTTGCTATAAGATAAGATGACACTCTATAAACCCCACTAGAAGTTTCCCTTAATAAGATTGGCCTTTCATTAATAAAAATTGGTAGGGTTTCTGTTGTTGAAGATAGTAAAAATGTGAGTGTAAATGCAAAAAGACCTAATCTTTTTTGAATCCCTTCTTTGTTATACCCAATATTAATGTAAATTGTCCCTAAAACAAGACCAACAATAAGTGCTTCTAATGTATTTGTCAAAAGAAGTTGTTTTGTCCTATATATAATCTTCCAAAATCTTCTAGAAAGTGTGATAATCTCATGAACCCTTGAACTCTTATACTTAATCTTCTCTTTAATCTCAATCGTATCGCGACGATTATCATTTGTGTTATGAGTAGGAGATGGAGGAACGGGTAGTTGGTTTAATATTTCCATGGCATATTCTAAGGCATTGAGTTGAGGAGGAACATTAAAACCATGAAAATTAAGGTGGTTTTGTAAGGAAGATAAACTTCCATGATGAAGAACTCTTCCTTTAGATAATAAAAGAATTTGATCAATAGTAGAGAGGATCTTAAAGCTAGGTTGATGGATCGATACAACGACGGTTCGATGTCTCGATATCGAGATCGATTTAAGGGTTTGCATTACGTTGAAGGCTGATCCGCTATCGAGGCCTGAAGTGGGTTCGTCGAGGAGGAGGATACCGGGATCATGTAGTAAACTAAGGCCTATCGAGACCCTTCGTTGTTCGCCTCCGGAAAGATTTTTTGTACACCAAGTGTTTGATAAATGTCGTAGACGAAGCTCTCCTAGGAGAGTCGAAACTACGTCGGAAATTTCTTTTGAGGTGGAGGTAGGGTGGAGGAGACGGGCGGTGAAGGCGAAGGTTTCAGAGACGGTTAAAAGGGAGAGACATGCGTCGTGTTGAGGTACGTAGGCGGAGAGTTTACGGTAGGAGGAAGGGGAGATGGGGTGGGAGTTGAGGAAGAGGGTGCCGGAGGTGGGGGAGGTTCGAGCTGCTAGGATGTCGAGGAGGGTGGATTTGCCTGCACCACTTGGGCCGACTATTGCGAGTATTTGGGAAGGGAAGGCGGTTAATGAGATGTCTTGGAGAATGTAGGTAGGTAGAGTGGAGGTGCAATCTTTGAAGAGGAAGGTTGGTGTGTAGGAAGAAGTAGTGGAGTTGTTTGTGGTGGTTTTAGTGTAGGAGATGGATGTGGCTGTTAGTTTGTAGGTTTTTCGTGGCGGCGGTGGCGGCGAGGGTGGTGGTGATGGGGGAGAGGATGGAGTGATGTTATTATGATGCTCCATGGAATTGGAGGAATGAGTTGTGTAAATGATTGTGAAAATGAGGGTGTCTTAAGCTAGCTTATTAATTGGCTTGCATTTGAGATTTTTAAAGGGGCCAAGTGGACTAGTGGAGTGGGGTTGGATGTAAAGAGTTTCATGTGATTTTATTTTTTTGCATGGAACGAATACTGTTTACTAAAACTAACTTTTACGAAGCTTTCTCCTAAGTTGAATAATTAATCTATCCCGTAAAAAAAAAAAAAAAAAAAAAAAATCTAATCATAACCCGAAAACCTTGTACAAGTGAATTACAAGAAATATTACCTAACTTAAAAATCCCATAAAAACAAAAACAATTGAAATAATACTTTTAAACCTTCCAAACTTAAGATCAAAAGTTTAAAAGTGATGCTTCACGTTTCTAAAATTATATAATACCTTCGTTACATATTATTTGCAATGATTTGACATAAAATAGAAAGGAAAAATGTCTAGTCGTTGCAAATAATATGTAACGGAGACAATACTTTCTCCGTCCCTTATTGATAGCTTCTTATGGTGAAATTTCACGGGAATTAAGAAAATTAAATAAGAAGTAGTAAAAGTATATTGAAAAGGTAAATTTATACGGGTTAAGCAAAAAAGTAGAGAGAGAAAGTAATACAAGTATTTGGAAATAGAATAAAAAATTTACATAGAAAAACTAAATTTGCACAAATGTTATTGCAAATTGAAGGAAATTTTGGTAAAAAATTACTCCCATATCCTTTATTGATAGTCCCTCATGGGCAATTTTCACGAAAATTAATAAACATAAATAAGTAGTATGAAAAGTTCATTTAAAAGGTAAATTTATATTGGATATGCAAAAAAAGTAAAGAGAGAAAGGAATAAAAGTACATGATTTGAAAAGGCAAATTTTACATGAGAAAGTTAAATTTGCAAATTATTGTTGCAAATTTGAGAGAATTTTGGTAAAAGATTAATAATAGTTGTACTTGAAAAAAAGTAAATGAGACTATCATTTTGGCATTTAAAATTAGCCATAAAAGACTATCAATAAGGGATGAAGGGAGTAATAATAATAGTAGTTGGATTTCCTTAAAAAAGTAATAGTAATAATAGTAGTTGGAAAAGGCAAATGAGACTGTCATTTTGGGACTTAAATTAAGCTATAAGGGACTAACAATAAGGGACAAAGGGAGTAAAATCTTGAAAATATGCCTTTTTTTTTAAAAAAACTTTTAGCTCGTATAACTAGCTAGTAGAGGTTTGAAATTCAACTTTTTAAAAAAGTCACAAATTATGAAATTTGGCTAATTATTATCTTAATTTAAGTTAATGACTATATACACTAAAAGATTGTATCCGTCATTGCATGTATCTCTTACTCATGTATTTACACTTTTAATTTAAGTTAATGACTATATACACTAAAAGATTGTTCTATTAATAATAATTTACAGAAAATTTTCACTTTTGCTACCATTCAAACACCCATATTTCACTTGTGCTACCCATCTAAAATTTTATTTTATTTTGATACCACTTAAAATCACATAATCTAAATTTCACTACTACATAACATTTTCAGTTATTATTTTCGTTAGTGAGATCAGCCACCCTCACTGTCACCTTCCGGCCATTACTCCTTCCTCAGCCACCCTAACTGCCTCCTCATTTTAGCTACCAAATTGATTAACATAAATACAACATATTAACATAAATACAACTTTATCTACGAGATATGATTAACATAAATACATCAAAAAAAAAAAAAAAAAAAGTACTATTAAGCAAAAACCTAAAACTTAATTAGATATATTACAAAGAGGGGTTTAGACCACTATCAGCAGTGAGGAAAAAAAAAACCTCTCAATCTCTCTCTACCCACTTTTTCACTCCTCCCATACAATTTCTCTCATCAAATGTTTTTTTCACTACATCAATGAGGAGAAAAAAAAACCTCTCATCACTTTTTCCTCCACTATTTACTATACCCCACCATAATACACATCATCTTTTTATTTTATCTTTATTTTGAAATAATGTTTATACTACATATTTAATTTTCCAATACAATTAAAATATGTGAAAATAATTTATTTTTTAATTACGTTTAAAAATAATTTAATAAAAATGTATAATTTAATAACAATTTATAAGTTTTATATTTACTTTTCAATTACGTTTAAAAATAATATAATAAAAATTTATAATTTTTATATTTATTTTTCAATTACGTTTCAATTATAACTTAATAAGATTGTTATTTATTTGTCAATTACGTTTTAATTATAATTAATAATATTTTTTTTATTTTTCAATTACGTTTTATTTATAATTTAACATTTGAATTAGTAGCACATTTTTGTAATGAACACATTAAATAGTCACATGGGAACTTCAATAACGGTAATACAAACACATGGGATGTTAAATAACGGTACAATTACGAACTAGATAAAAGTGGTTCTACTAAAATAAAATACAAACACGAGTATTAAAACATAAATAACGATACGGTTACAAATAACAAACTAAAAAATTATTTATTCAACCGCATTATGACGAAAGTTCTGCCATATGTGCTCCACTAAATCTTGTTTCAGAGATGAATGAATTTCTCTATCACGAAGGGAAATCCTTCTCTCCAAATACGTGGTGAAATCAATGTTGGGTGGTCGCCCGACGTTGAATTCAAATGGCTCGTTGTTAAACACCGTGGCACTTGTGCTCGGGTCTGCCCGCCTCACCGTACGTTGTGGTCGATCTTCTTCGTAGTATCGTCTCAAAACATCTGCATGTGCGTAGTTGTGTCGTTCATCCTCGACGATCATGTTGTGCATTATTATACAGGATTTCATAATATCACAGAGAATATCTTCGTCGTATGCAAGTGCTGGTTGTCGTAGTATAGCGAACCTAGCTTGTAAAACTCCGAAAGCCCGTTCGACGTCTTTCCGAACTGCTGCTTGTTGATCAGCAAACAACTTGTCTTTTCTAACATGAGGATGTGTTATACCCTGTATAAAAGTTGGCCATCTCGGGTAAATCCCATCGGCCAAGTAGTAGCCCAACTCATATTGATGTCCATTAACCGTAAAATTTATGGGTGGTGCATGACCTTGTAAAACATCATCAAATACCAGTGAACGGTAAAGGGCATTCAAATTGTTACATGACCCAGGCATTCCAAAGAACGCATGCCAAATCCATAGATCCTGATCAGCAACAGCTTCAAGAATGAGAGTTGCACTCTTGCTACGACCAGCATATTGTGCCTTCCAAGCAGTAGGACAATTCTTCCACTCCCAATGCATGCAGTCTATACTACCAATCATCCCTGGAAAACCACGCAGATCATTTTGATGAAGGATTCTCCTTAAATCTTCATCTGTAGGTTTTCGTAGATATTCACTTTCAAATTGTGAAATAACCCCTTGACAGAAATGTTGCAATGCCTGCCTAGAGGTTGTTTGGCCGAGACGTAAATATTCATCCACAGCGTCTGCGGCTACGCCATACGCTAACATTCTTATTGCAGCGGTGCATTTCTGCAACGGTGATAAACCAAGCTTCCCAGCTGCATTTCGACGTTGCTGGAAGAATTGATCCCCCTCAACCACTTTGCTCATAATGCGGCAGAACAATGACCGTTGCATACGGAATCTACGTCGGAATTGGTTGTCGTTATACACTGGATTATTCGCGAAATAATCGTTGTATAGTTGCACATGCCCTTTTTCTCTTTCCCTATCCCTTTTGGGCTCCGTTGATAGTTCAGTTTCATTATTTAGTGGAGGTTCTTGTGGTTGGTCTGGAGGAAGTAATCTATGAGGTAGGTGATTTGCTACATACTCATCAACTAAGCAATCAAATTCATGATTAGAAAAATCTGGGTTGTTAGGATCCATTAGCAAAATAATAATAATAATAATAATAATAATAATAATAATAATAATAATAATAATAATAATAATAATAATGATGATGATGATAATAATAATAATAATAATAATAATAATAATAATAATAATAATAATAATAATAATAATAATAATAACAACAACAATAATAATACTACTACTTTTTTTTGACAATATAATAATACGATTTTTTTCAAGGATTAATAAATTTAACAGAAATAATAATAAAGAAATTAATAATAATAATAATAATAATAATAATAATAATAATAATTATAAGAATACCAATAAAACTACTACTTTTTTTAAATTAACACTACTACTACTACTACTAGTAATAATAATAATAATAATAATAATAATAATACTAAATAATAACTGAGGGGTTTTTTTTTTACGAATAATAATAATAAAAAAATGATGAAAATAACTCAAAGAAATTGGGAAAAGAAGAAAATTTGTAGTATTTATGGGTTTTTTTGAAAGTATATCAAAATATATCAAAATGCATGTCTATTTATAGAGAAAAAAAAAATCTATCCGTTGGTGAATTTTGTTTTTTGTTTTTTTTTTTTTATAATTACAACGGTTATATTTACCTTACAAAAATATAACCGTTGTAATAAAAGCAAAAAAATCTGATTGGTTGGAAGGACAAAGCCTGACGCGTGTCGCATCCCCATTGGCTGGGTCTGACGAGCGTCAGGCCAGCTGCCCCCTTATTTTTTTTCCCTTTTTGCCCCTCAAAACGGCGTCGTTTCGCCCTTCTTTAAGGCAAAACGACGTCGTTTTGCAAGCCAGAAAGGAAAAAAAAAAAGGGAAAGTAGCGTGTACATGTGGGGCCCACCGGTTACTGTTCACGAGTATTTTCCCTCAACTCTTGTTTGTTTTCCATAGCTCTCAACGGTGAGGGTTTTTTCCCTCACTAACGTAATGCTCGGGTATTTTTTTTACACCTTTATTTTTACTCGTGAGGGCTTTTTTCCTCACTGCCGGGAGTGCTCTTAGGACTATACCTCCCAAACCGACAATACCTATAACAATGAGATTAACATTGTCATTGCTTGAATTGCAACAAAAATCGATCACTTGAGCAATGTCTCGATTTCTTCCGATCAATTTCATATTTCCAACAGAATTCCTTGGGCTTAATCACTCGTGTCAGACCTCTGCCTCTGACTTGTCTCAGCCGCAACATCAAGGGGTTTGATTCCAATTTATTGTTCATCAAACTTCTTCATTGTCGGACTTTTCTCGCCATACGTTGGCGGATCAATGAGAGTATCCTTTCATTTTTGCCTCTTCTTAATCCAACACTTCTACTTTAATAGTTCGTATGCTTAACCATCAATAACATCCTAAGCATCGTAAACACAATTATGAATTCTATGCAACCAATAAATTATAAATGGGTTCGTATTTTTTTTTTTTTATACATTAGTTCCAACAAAATTTAAAAATTATATTAAAATTATTCATAAAATAACAAATTACGTTGAACCACACATATATTATATTGCACATCATTG